ACACACACACACACACACACACACACACACACACACACACACACACACACACACACACACCCTCACCAAGGAAATGACACATTTTTTAAGCAAATTGTTCTGAGGCAAAGCTCTGACCGCGGATGTCCATTAGACATCCATTACGCACCAAGTGGCAGATGAAAGGCTGACATGTGATTGATCARTACAGCTCGTTGTCAGTAATAATCTGGGCGAGGTCAAAAACACACGGCTGTTTATTCTTCAGTCTCACTCAGGAGCTCAGCAAGGACGGAGGAGCTGCTACTGATGGAGGTAAGAACTGCTGACATCTTCAGAAAATTCTTGATTTTACTTTAAACGCAGCCTGACACGTTTGTAATGGCAGGAAAACAGTGCATTTAATGTTTAAATATTGAAAAAAAATGTTTTTGTGTAAGATGGGAATGAGTTTTTATTGTTTGCTGCAGGCCTCAAAGGAAGCGATGTCTGACTTGGAGAGTGGTATGGCCACTATTGTTAAGGTTTTCCATAAATACTCTGGTCATAAGTGTAAACTGAGGAAAGCAGAGCTTAAAGAGCTCATCAACAATGAGATGAATCATTTCATCATGGTGGGTCCTGGACCAGCATGTGTCCTTTTTCTGCTTGACCTGAGAGATCAGTGAGAAAACTGGAYGTTACAAAATTCTTAGTACAGAAATGTAATCTTGTTTCTACGTCTTTTCATCCTATTTTCCTCCTCCAACAGAAAATCCATGAGAATGAGATTCTGGATCAGCTGTTTTCTGACCTCGACCAGAACGGAGATCTGGAGATCGACTTCCAGGAGTTCGTCACCCTGATCGCCATGGTCACCTCGGCGTGCCATGAGTTCTTCTCCCCGAGCCACCACGATAATTAATCAGCTGCATGTTTAAAATGTGAGGAAGACAGAAACAGCTTGCTTTTGGTTGATCTTTTCGGCTGTGTGAGGGATTTTTGTGAGAACTGAACCTTGATGGGTCGCTGAATCAACTTATTCATTCATTTAATCATTTTCCATGGCTCCCCTTCATCAGGTTGGAGGGCCACAGCCTGTCCCATTTACTGAATAAAATAAATGTTCAGGGTTCCTAAAGCGTGGTACAAAAGTTTTTTTGGTACACAAAGAAGAAACTTTGATATAATCCCATGCATAAAATCAGCTGAAATATTATTGTTTAAGATAAACTGAGTAACGTTTTAAAGTTTTGCTGGAACATTTTATTTATGCTGTTAGCATGTAGTTGTGTGCTTTATGTACTTGTACTGTAGGTGTGTATAGTTTAAGTAGTGTGTATGTATATTCAGAAATTTTATAGGAACTTTTTTTTTATCAGCCATGATGGCTGTACCTGAGAAACTCGACAACAGCAACCTGCAACTTGTGCTACAACATCTGTGCTGACGTATAATTTACATTTTGAATGCCCAAAATAGAATTAAAAAATGACTAAAATACACAAAGTGTTGTGGAAGCATTATGTGAAGTGTGCCTCTCTGTTTAAGCTGGTTCTTTAATGCAGTTTACAAATTCAAGTCAGAGACTTCAGGGTTTTCTGAGAATTTTTGAAGTGGTCTGTTGAATTGTTTTCAACAGACCACTATGTCTTCTGCTAAAGTAATCTATTTTTCTAACCTCATTACAACCATTAGGCACAATTCTAAAGTTCTAATTAACACTGTGTCACAACTCACTGAGGGCAAATTAACCACGTGTAATTCTTGTTTAACAGCTCATGATTTTCTGATGTTCGTTCCTGATCGAGCTGATACACTGAGAAGTCAGATGACTCACTCCACAAGTGGTTCATCTGACTGTCTTGTTGCTCCACCTGCTGTTATCGCCCAAGGGTTTTCTCATTTTGAGCCTATTTCTCTGTCAAGTTTAACTAAGGTTGTCAACACAGCTTGATGCACAACCTGTCCTTTAGATCTTTACCTGCTTGGGCTATTAAGGACTTAGGTCTTAGGACCTTCCATTTTGGTTTTACTAAATACTTCTTTGACTACTGGAGTTTTCCCTGCTTGTTTTAAATCAGCTATGGTAGTATCCATCTTAAAGAAGCCTGGGCTGGATATTGACTCTGTTGCTAATTATAGACCCATATTTCAACTATCTTTGGTCCTTGAAAAGGTTGTCTCCCAGCAGCTAATTAGTTATCTGTCTGCTAATAATTTGTTTGAGTCATCAGTCTGCTTTTAGATCTAACCACTCAACTGAAACTGCTTTAACTAAAGTGGTCAATGATCTACTGATAAATGCTGACAATAACTGTCCCTCAGCAGCACTATTGTTGTTAGACCAAAGTGCTGTGTTTGACACTGTGGGTCACTGTATTTTATTGGATAGACTTGAACACTTTACTGGAATCACGGGAAAAGTACTTTCATGACTGAAATCGAATTTGTCTGGGAGATCTCTGACTGTTACTTTCAATAATGAGCTGTCTGCGACCGGCGCTGTGAAGCACGGGGTTCCTCAAGGTTCTGTGCTCGGCTCCCTGCTCTTCTCACTTTATCTTTTGCCTATTGGTCTTCTCCTGCATTCATTTAAAGTAACTTTTCACTGTTATGCTGACGATCTACAGATGCCCTTCTCTGTTGGAAACTGTGTCAACTTGATTAAGCTGGAGGCCTGTTTATCAGCAATTAGGGGTTGGCTATCTAACAATTTTCTGCTTCTCAATATTGACAAGACTGATTTAATGGTTATTGGACCTCAGAAGTCACATGGCTTGTCCCAGGTTTTTACACTGAAAATTGACAATCAGGTCATCAACTGTCGGGAAAACGTCAGAAACCTGGGTGTGTGGTTCGATCCTGTGCTTTCTTTTGAGTTTCACTTAAAGGAAGTTACAAGATCTGCCTTTTATCATCTTAGGAACATCGCCAAAATCCGACACTTTCTTTTATTTTAGTAATTATGCTACAATCTGGCTCATTTACAGTCTATACAGAAGTATAAGAATGTTCATTAATGTGCACTGTCCTGATTAAATAAATAAACAAATAATATTTGATAATGCTGAGATCCTTATCCATGCATTTGTGACTTCACGCATTGACTATTTCTCGACTATTTCATAGACTATTTTATGTTTTCAGTAATCAATATCTTACATGCTGTCATAGTCTGTGTTTATTTTGCTTTGGTTTTCCTAGAGTTTCAGTGTGTCCCGTGTTTCTCTGCTCAGCTGCCCCACCCTTGCACACCTGATTGCCCTTGTGTTTCCTCCAGGTGTTTCTAGTTTGTCCTCATTAGTTTACCTTTATATTCGGTGTCCTGTCTTCAGTCTGTGTCTGATCATTGAGCTGTGTTGTCCAGCCTGTTCGGTCCCTGTGTGTTTTTGAAGTCTTGAGCCACGTCAAAGTTTTTGTAAGTCTTTTAGCTGCCTCATCAGCGTCTTTTGTTAATAAAACCTTTTTTTGCAAGTTCTAAGTTTTATCTGTGCCCTGGGTGATCTCCTACGTCTGAATTTGACACATGCAGTAGAAAGAGTTGTTTTATAAGCTTGTAAAGGATTATTTTTTAATATAATTAGTCCTCGTTTTGGCTACCCATAAGCCTAGCTTGGAGCCTAGTTCAGCGTTTTATGACCACTGCCCTCCAGTTTCAAACTGTATTTGCCTGGTGACCGATGTCTTAATTAGCTGTACACATGTGTGTCCTCAGCTGGGACGTTCTGTCCTGCTAGTATCATCAGTTGTAGGAAGTATATGGATGTAACTCATRTATGTATGAAATTATTCACAAACAGGTTTAACTTATAGAATCTGGAGAACAAATGTATTTTATGAGACAAAAAAACATCCATCCATCTTCTTTAGGTACACCCTGGTCACAAGGACACACAGAGACAAATGAGACAATCATTCACTCTCTCACTCACCCCCGGAGGCAATTTAGTTACCAACAGTGTTCCTTTTGGTCTGTTCCGAATAAACAGGAATCCACTGGATTTCTTGTTAAAACTTTATTTTCAATCTTCTGACTCCAATCAGGTTCATACAGCACTCAGCAGCACAGGCCTCAGTAAGACCTTGGGCTGAACCAAAACACAGCACAGGAGCCCTGCTCTAAAGCAGAGACTCTGCCAAACACTGACAACTTCTTCTTACTATGATAATGAATTGACCGTATAATCTACWTCTCTTCATGGTTAAATCCCTGGAGGTGTTACCTTTTACGTCAGACGTAGAACGTAACTCAATTTCGTTTAGGCTAAAGAAAGAACACATGATAAGACACACACCAACTCTTTGTCTGCTTTAACTTTAAGGCTGAAATGATCAGAGAGTATAAAATACAATACTGCATCTAACATTCAATTAATCAGTTACAAAATTTCCTTCAGAAGGAAACTGAAGTACCTGGAGAAAACCCACATTTGCATGGAGAGAACATGCRAACTTTTGTGCATCAAACATTCTTACACCTGTTGATGAGTACAAACTAATGGTAACTGTTAGAAGGTTTTCTTAATGAAGGATGGAGTCACTGGGTTTGGGTTCTTTAGCTCCTTCTTGCAGCAGGAAGACAGGTCAGGAGGCCGTGTTATTTTTGTTTTTGATTTTGTTTTAATATCGCTGCTTTTATTACACTGGGTTCTGTATTCATGATTAAATGCAGCAAAAATAAACCAATTGAAAAGTAACGGATCTTTGTAATATTTGGTTTAATTACATAATGACTTTAATTGCTGGATATTCGRCCCCTCAGCTCTTTGYCTGCAGTGGCCCCCAGAGCAATTTAGTTGAATAGCCCCGGCCTAATGCACAACTTTAAAAGTTTTAGTAATACTGCAAATTTGACAAAAATTATACATTTTAATGACAGTAAGCTAACATTTATGACTTTAAACTGCAGGTGTAATAACTTTCCTTCCTGACTGCTAATGAACCTGTAAAGCACTTTATCTGGGGGTTAGTGGGTCCCCCATTGCCCGACTGCAAAGGATTCAACATTTAGATCACGTGTCAAACACAAGGCCCGTGGGCCGGTGACTCCCGTGTGGCCCGCCAGGGGGACACCC